TGCATCACACGACGGTTGATTGACAAATGGTCCAGGGGGACCTAAGGCTCCTTTTATAGCGCGCCTTCGTGTTTAAAGCGTGGTCAATTTGCAGAAAGTCACGGTCGTCAATATTGCCTTTTACAAAAACATTGGGTGGGGCATTTGAACACAGTTTTTGCTCTGGAGGGCGTGAATTTGAAGAAGTACAAGTGTAAGGGGGGTTGCTCGGGGAAGGGGGGGATGACGTAACAATAATCACTACTCGATTTTCAAATCTTTCAAGTGGAGGGCGGAAGGCAATAAGTATACGATTCATCGTAATTGACCATAAAGAATAAAAGTTGCTGCTATTATCCTGCTTTTCTTCCGAACGACATCACCACTAGATTGGCCTTCGCGTGATCGCCTTCCATTCGAGAGACCATCTTCAAATAACTTCTGCGCAACTGTTATGTTCTCAGGCCTTCACTGGTAGCCTCTCTCTTCCCGTAATTTTCTCTACGGATGGTTATAGCTACTAGAACTCACTAGACCGCAAAATTCACTAGTTCACACTAGTTGACTTTACCTCATGTTTTACCCCCAAAATAACCATTTCCTAGAGTGGTAACCAAGGAGTCCCCCCCATAGGAAACCTTTGATTGGAAAGTCTCCTTCAGAGGTTTCTTTTCCTTTTTTTTTTACAGATGATTGGGGGAACATGTGCATGCTTGTAGGGTTTCAGACCAGGTATCTATAAGTGAGTGGAGTGCAATAATATTCAGTTGTACTTTGCCATGCGGAAAAGGCGCTTTGTGGATCACATTCAATTCCTAAATATTTAACAAATGGTAAACACCACAGCGTACACTATTGAGTTATGGATGCACGCGGGAGGTTTGCTAAGCACTCAAGAAGCTAGAGTCGCTCTGGGCTATCGCCTCGAGCGACTCTTACGCTACTTTCGTTTTACCATTTGTTTTACAACATAACATTGATACATTGTAGCAAAATAGTTCACAACATAACATTGATACATTGTAGCTAAAGAGTTCCCTTTTATTTAACAAATCTTACGTGACCAGAAAAAAAAAAAAAACAAGCGAGCGCGGAAAATTAGTCTTTGCATTTGCTCACGTCAGCAGCGTACACCCATGGGCAAATGGGGAACGCTAAATTGACCAATCAGAGCGCGCGCTTTACTTTGGTTATGTTATAAAGCTGTTTGAAATGATCGGTGTTATACTGTGGCCCAGTGATCTCGCTTCATTCCAGATAAAAATATTGTGTCAATTATTCGTTCATGTAAGGGATGTTGGGAGTGGACTAGATTGCCGCCACGGGTTTAAAAGAGCAGAAGTTATGTTTTAAAATTTGCTTTAATCTGCCATTCGAATAAAAATTAAAATATCTTTCCTAAGCAGTTATAAACTAAGATTTGTCCTCATGACTAGATCGAAAACTTCTTTGAATTATGACCAGGTTTCGCTCTGGAAATGTTTTGTACTTTCTAACGTTTTAAGAAATTCCTCGGCTTTCGGTCTGTCCATTTTACCTTCTTTAATAAATACTTCAAGAAGGGCATCGGTAACATCAGTGGGCATCCGCTGAGAGTTTCTGTGCATAACGTAGATAGAAACAAACGTCAAAATCCACAGATATTTTACTTTCCTTACTGTCCACAAAAGAAAACTTGCCGATGAAATTTCTTCTTTCAGCAAGTTCCTTTCAGGATAATTTTAACGCTTTTTTTTTTACTTCCGATCAAATGCAGCTTCCTCGCATCTTATTACAAAATGACATCTGAATATGCTAGTGTCCGAAGGTACAGTTGCCCATCCTAATCCTCCTAAACAAAAAGCTCGATTCAAATAATTCTAAATTTACTACGGCAAAAATTCAAAATGGTAGACACTTCCCCTGAAAATATTCATTTTCCCCGACAAGTGCTCTCTTCAAGTCACCGACACTATCAAATTCCGTCCAGCGTTGACAAGTCTCCTTGCTAAAAAAAAATTAACTTAAAAAAACTACCACCTCAGTTTTGAGAAATGCGTATTTTCAAGAAGAAACTTGTCACATTTTCCCATAACACATCGCCATAGAAAATTCAATAACATGGTTAAACTGGGAGGGTACCTGGAATTATCACACCCTCGAAAGTTTGAAAGTCCGCCCCATAAAACAAACCAGGTTCACTCCCACATTTCAGAGATCGCCCCTTAATCTTTCAACTCTTTTTAGCCAAACATGTTTTTTTTGGTAACGAAATGACAAAACATTTTAAACTTTTGTGAAATGAACTCGCGATGGGGTTACAAAACCGCATAAAAAGGCTTGCTACTGATGGGAAAGAGAACTTATCATACCCGGCTATGTAAAACCATCCATGCTTGTTGACCAGAAGATCCCAGACGAGAGAGCTGTTCTCCAGTAACTTGTGCTGGACGTAGATCTTGTCTTCCTGTATAAAGAAACATTTTAATACAGTTACAGCTATTAAAAAAAAAAAGAAAATAATACTGATCTACCTTGTAAACATGGCGCAAACGATGACAGAATATCGCAGTTGAAGAATAAAATTACCACAGAAACTTAATACCAAATAAATCAATTTCTGACTGGAAGAAAAAAAAAATACTTTATTGTAGAGTTAAGATTACTGTCAACAAAACCTGGTTAAAACTTTCAAAATTTAGTTTTTTTGCTCTTAGTTAGAGAAAGTAGTTAAGTGTGATCCTTTATTTAGCCTAAAATTTACTACTTCTTGTTCTTTCTATTTATCTAGAATTCTCTGATATGCCGCGCTGTCTAAGGAGTGAAATATGCGATTTGCGACAGGTACCAACTGCTACTGAGTCCATGTACCAAAGGGGTTACAATTCACCCATGTTTGCTTACCTGATCTCTTGAAAAAGCAGTGAACAACCTTAAACTCCCACCTTCAATCAGTAAACGCCATTGGTCTCGGAAAAAGAAATCTTTGCTACTGTTCCGACAGCCAAAGAACAGCACACATCCTGCATGAAGATAACAGAATTATATAACTAATATAGACTGTCACTTGATTCATAAAAAAAAAAACTAACAACAAGGAAATTCAACAGCAAAAAATCGCAAAACTAAATCAAAACAAAAAATTGTACCCCTTCTGAAGTGACAATAATGATAAATAGAGGGGAACAGACTGACCCTACAAAATTACCTGACTCTACCTCCGATCAAAACAGATCCATCTCAACTTACCTAAGCTAGCAAAACTGAAAAATCAGCTTTCGTGAATCAGACCTTCAAACTTTATCATTTTTTTTAATATTATTTTATTCTAAAGATGACTTCAGGGCAGGTTGCGGAAACGTTAGTTTATCGGCAACCAAACACAGTTCAGTTTTTTTTTTTTTTTTTCAGACCCGTAACCTCAAAGAAACGATTACAGAGGACATTCAATTATTTCAATTGACTAATTAGATAACAAGGCTGCACTACTGAAATAGCTCAGTTGTGTAGGTTCTAAGGACATGGATATCTTGATGCAATCACTCCTCTTTCTTTTGAAACAAATCCTAGCTTACCTCCGGCCGACTGTGAAACTCTTTCTTCAATAAGACTTCTAAACGGTGCACAGCCAGTCCCTGTCAGAAAAAGAATGAGTATTAAACAACACATTGGTTTTAAATACCAACACACAACTTCAGGCTCAAAGTGATGAAATGATAAAGTCTAGGGTGTAACTAATCACTGTCTTCAGTCGTCAACAAGTCGAATCAAAATAAAAAAGCGAAAATGTGCATTCACTGCTGATGTCTAAAAGGAATCTCTTTTGGAAGCAGACGCAGTTTTCTCAGAGTGACATGAATAAACATGAGCATAATTTAAAAGCAAATGCAAGTTATGGAGAGCACTGTTCTAAAAATAGCTTTGACATTTGTTAAGAGAGAAATATTTTCAATGAAACCGTGTAAATACATTGTTTGTCTATGGAAAACTCAGTTTTGTTCTGCACGAGACTTTAACCTAAGTAAAAAGAAAAACACGCTCAAAGGCTTATTTTCAACCGAGATGCCTTGCGCGCCCAGATCATTTTTCATATATGAAAAATACGCTATTTTCCTCTAAGTTGCGGAATCGATTTGTTATCTTCTTCCATCTTACTAATTAGGGCTTTCAAAGTTCCATCTTGAATCACGTGCGAACAACAAACTATTGTAGTATCCATATCAGTAAATAGTTTTTAATTCTTACATGTATGACGATGAAAAACGTCATTTGAAAAGTTGATGCCGCCGAAGAAGCGGTCTAGAGGAAGGTCGGGTCTACCCGGCTCGGCAAAGGTTATTCGACTTCGAGAGTCTGTGTATGATTTAAGGAGGGCAAGGAAAACAACAATGGGTTTCAGTAACACTACAGACAGTGCTTTTGCAGAAATGTTATTGCATTGTTCCTACGATGGAACTAGAGACTCCGGGGTGATTTTTTCGAGGTGAGAATAATTATTTGACTGATTTTTACTTGAGATCCTGAGATATGTATGTAAGCGATTTCATTTGTACAAGTCATTATTCTATAAATGAAATGCGTAAAGTAAATCAGTTTTGGCCAATATTGGTTATTTGTTTATATTTTATTTAGTGTTGAAGCCGAACAATTTCCTTCACCATCAAGTAAGCTTTTTGCAAGTCTTATACACAGACTCGATTTATGATTTTTCAGTCTCAAATATTTAGCTGCAAATTTTTTTACTGTGTTCTTCACCAAATCTTTGTTTTTCTATTTAATAGTGCCTGTGAATGACTATCAGAGTTCGCCATTTAGCAAGAGCGCGATTCCAAAACAAAAACAAACGACTGCAAAAGATCTCGGATGAAAATGGGCCTTTAAATACGAGTCTAAGAAGAATAAATGTAAACATGTTTCACCAATCATGTTGCAATGTATGTATCCTCAAAAACCAGCNGTTTGATAAGTTTAGTTTTGTAGTTTACAACAGCTACCAGTAATTGAACTTCATCTGGACGAACCTGTCAAGATGGGATCAAAATTTCTACTATGGTTATTCAGTTGAGTACTCAACTCAATGCAGAATAACTGCAAATTTTCTTGAAAACTGGAGGAATGTGTTTGTATCTTATGGGAAGTTAGTAACTTTTTAAAATATTTCAAAAATTAGTTCTTCCAGGAGGGAAAAGGCTTAATTCAAACGTCAACCTCTCCGTTCGCATCTGCTTTTTTCACTTCTGCTGATCTGACGTTCCGGCTTTCTCACGTGCGCACGCTTAGGGTACGTCTTTGTCAATATCTATGCTTCCGCGTTAGGAGGGGCTGTTAAAAGGTATTTATAACATTCAGTTTCCCGGATCCAGTCACTCTTACCTTCAAAGAGGAAGCAATAGAAAAAGCTCGAGGTTGAATTGGTGGAATCAGGTCAAATAAATACTTGAATGGAATGTTTGCACAAGCAGAAGGGAAGTCTTGAAGAACCTATCGAAAGACATTTTTCACACCTTTCGTCAAACGTTATCTGTCTTTGTCATTAATTTCAAAAAGTTCATTTCCTGTTTCCTTAAAAACAGAAAATAGCAGCAACATTGAGGTTAGCGCACTAGATTTCAGGATTGAAAGGTCAGCCGCAGACACCTAGCTGGGTCTCTGCGTTGTGTTCTTGGACAAGAATATATTTTTCTCCAGCAGCGCCTCTCCCTGTTCTCGGGTATACAAGTGGGTGTGGTAAACTGTCAGGGAAATTGTTGGAGTCTACTTACGCTCAAAAGACGTAAGAATATCCCTCGTGACCTCAAGTAGCAAAAAACGGGAGCAATGGATTACCAGGGTCGAGAAATCTCACATTTGTATTATTATTTTCCAGTTGCAAGTATTAACATGATCACAAACTCTCCTCTGTAAATAAATTAAACGTGAAAGAAGGGAAGGCCAGTGAGCTTCCCTCCCCTCCCCTCCCCTCTCCTTCAATATTTTGAAAAATTAATTCATTATGTTTAACACCTATATGCATATAACAAAGCCATGATTACCTCCAAAGTTGTCCTTTTCTGTCTGTAGCAATAAGAACAAAGTTCTTCCTGAAAGCACAGGTCATCCAAGAGAAAATGATCACATGAAATAATAATGATAATAACAATACTAATAATAATCATAATGATAATAATAATCATAGTTATTGTTATTATTATTATTATATTTCAATTCTCTCCAGTTGTCGGGTGTTCCACTGGGTAACGTTGTTTGTGCCTCAGCAACTTCCCGTAGCTCAGAAACACAACACTTTTCACAACAGATGAGCAGTTCCAAGGATTATTATTATTAATAATAATTTTTCACCTCTGAGTAAGATATCATGACAAACTGATACTTTCTTTCTCAGAATGACAATCTTTCATCCTAGGGCATATTAAATGGGAACCACTGAAACCTCTAGGCCTGCCCTGAGCAAGTATTTCTGCACAATCAGCTTTCTAGATCTAATTTTAAAAGACATGATTGACCTTGAAGCCTTAATGTTGTAACCCACACGCAGGAAATTCTTCAGTTGCATGAGAGTGCTGACTAAGATTCAACCATCAATTTACTACTAATCCAGAAACAAATTGTTATTAGCTGCTTACAATACAGCTCAGAGGTACATGGCCAATGCACATGCAAAATCTTTGCACGTTTTTTGGCTAACGCAAAAAGAAAAAGTGTGTCTTAGTGGGTTTTTGCTTTTGTTACTCAACACAGTCAGCTTGCTTTGTTCTGCATTGTTTAAGACAACAAAAAATTTCCTGTTTTAAAATACCACCACCGAAGCATCAAATTAGCTCTAACCAATTGAGTTAACCGCCTCCCGCTTAGCTCAATTGGTTGGAGCACCAGATTGTGTTGTGCAAGAGGTCGAGGGTTTGAGCCCTGGCCAGACCAATACAAATGGTCCTAAAATAACTGAGGAGAATTTGCTACCTTTCCATAATATCAAGAAATGGATAGATATTCTAGTCTTCTCAGATAAGGACGAATAAACCATAAGCCCCGTCTCCTGCAGGGTTAGGCGTAGGAGACATTAATTAATTTCCCATGCACGAGATTACTGTGTGGTGGATGTCCTCCCCTGGGGTGGGATGGTGTAAAAACCTAGTAGGGGACTTATAATCCTATTGTTTCTACACCTACCTTATGGTAAATTTCTAAATAAATGAAAAATAAATAAATAGAAATATTATTATTTGCATATCTCAACATCTAAGGATGTAATGGCTTTTATTTCGATGAAAAGTTCAAAGGACTTGTCATGATTCAATTATTATTTCTTTACATATGTTTGTAGAAGTATTTAAGATGTGAGCACCAGAAATAATCTCTAAACAACTTTTTGTTACCAGTTAAATACAGCAAACTTTGCTTGTACCTGACCTTCTGCAGAGCAAAACTCTAGAAGTTTTTCCTTTTCCAGGTCTGAACTTGTGAAATGGGAAAGAAGCTCAAAGAAGTATCTTCTTGGTACACCTTGGATGTCTAAATAATGTTCCACAAGATGCTGAATGGAGCATGGCTGGGGAAGCTGGTGTGGAACATGTAGATCTATCGTGTTAAATCAGGAAGTTTAGCATTAAATCATGTTTAGAAAAGCTCGAGCAGTTTTATCTGTACGGATCTGCTCACTATTTAAAACATATATTTTATTTGAAGGGACTATCATACAGATTTTAGAAATAAAAATGAAATATGAACTGATCCTAGAGATACTGACAAAATTATATAGACAACCACTAACTAGTTTTAGAGAAATCAAGAATAATGAATCCCACTAAAAAAATTCAGATTTTTCTTTGCACATTCAGAACCAATACTTTCAACATATTCTACAGAAGTTACCAGTAACTCCCACTCTGTTTAACATCACTTAAATTCAGAAAAAAGAACATCCACTGGGCATTGTGAAAAGTGACTGATAACAGATCACTTAGCAGATGCTTGCATCTTTCAAATTACAGATATCAGTTCTGCAAACCCTTTACCTAAATCATTCTGTTCAAGGTAAAATGTTTGGTCGCATTGAAGTGATAAATGATTGATAAATTCTTGTACAACATCATGTAGATTACTTGGCTGTACCATAAGGACATCACCTGGAGAGTGGCTACAACAGAATAACAACACAAACAATTTGACTATTAATAATAGTATTCACATCATAACTTAATTTAAAATCTAAAATAATTGGAAATTTAATAAAGAATGTACAAAGTATCTAGTATACCTTATTATTACCTTTAGTTAACAAGATTATCTACATCTAGCATTTTAAACATTAACATTAAGAGGGTATCTAATGCATTGCTATAAATCTCAAGATCTCAGGTAATCTTTAAGACCCCTAAACAAATTTTTAACACAAGAAAACAAACATTTACCATATCCTGACCTTGACCCCATGCAATAAGACAAAAACATGGCTTAATTAGAACTATTTCTGTGCAGTTTCACAAACAGCTCAAAAACAAACATGCTTTCTCATTAAGAGACCAAGTTTTCAACTTGCTGGATAGCTAATAAAACAAATTAAAGTTGCTATAAGATTAACCAGCCATTAGGGAAGGCAAGTTATATGGGAGGGGTTAACAGGGTGCTGTAAGACCTTCACATTTTTCTTTGCGCTTAGCACATCTTAAGTCTAAAAAATATGTTCCACAGGAGCTTCCATCTAGGTGCATTAGCAATTTAGTTTTGCTGTAGTTGTTATGATACGTGATTTATCGACAGCTTGCCTTATTTGGTTATCTGCTAAATAAGCAGTGATTTTACTGCTCAAAAGATTTGCCTCCAACATGGCATGTTGAGTGGTTTTTACAACACAGAAGAGACTACCTCATATGCATGTTCACAAAATGAATTGATCGTGAAAAAAAAAACCTTATTTCTCTGTGTGGAAAAAGCTTAATTTATTCATTCCTAAGTATTCGTGATACACATTCTTTAGATGAATGTAATGATTAAAAATTTTTGTTCACATTCATGTACACCGTTGACAATGGCAAAAGATCATTACCCTTTGCTGATAGCGTGATTTATCAAGGATTTTAATTCAGTGTCCTAAATTTTGTGTAACAGGAGTGCATGATTTTGCGGATTTTACCTTTAGGAACTTAAGAATATTCTTCCTGTTTTTGAGGTCGCGATCAAGGTCAGCATTGATCCAAAAGTTCAATGAGGTGTAGGACAAATACAATTTAAAGACGCTCACAGCAATAAATTTATTTCCTTTCACTCCGCCGCCAAGTCTTGACCTGAGCAATCATGATGCTCTATCCTGAGCCAAATTGTTCTGAAAAAGTTTGAAACCTCTCTGTTGACGAAGAAAACGAACTCACGTCGAAATATGACTCATCAATTTTTGAAAAAATAATGAGGATATGAGATCTTTAACTCTATCTGATCGAGAATTGAAGTCGCCGGATGTTCCTGTTTTTCGCAGCGTGATGTATATGCATATTGAATAAGACTACTTGCACGTACAGATTTAAATGCGCACTTTAACTGCTAACGTTACGCTGATACGAATGCAACAACGAAAGAAAATATACAGTGAATGACTAAGAACTTGAAAAAAACCTGTACAAAATAAGCAGCTAAAAAGTTAAAAAAAAATTAATCCGTGATGACAGCAACGTTAGCAAACAATTTCAGTAATGACCGAGAAACACAAACAAAACTCTTGTGGCAACTTGTGGCGGTGTGTTTTAACCCTTTATTTGCTTCATTGTCCGCATTTTTCTTTAACACGCATCAACAGCTTCAAATAATGAACCAAAAACCAAAAAAGGAGATGAAATATTGGCTCAGCTTGTGATCTGCTCTATAAAACAACGTTTTCACTAGAACTTGTTTCCATAATTCAAAGCTCACATAGCAGCAAAAAATACGCCTCTTATGTTGAACCGACCTCACCACTGAATCGGAATGCTCCTTGGTTGAAAGCACCACCGACAGGTGCCGCAGTGCTAACTCTATCAAAATCCTGGGGCAAGAGGTGCCTAAAGGTACGGAAAAGAGGATTAAACTTCCAGGCAAGCAAAGAGAAGTCAGATGGTTATGTGGATCATCAGAAGAACGAACTGCATGGAACACCCCTGCTAATCAGCTTCGAATCACCTACCAGAGCGACGGAGCAATTCGATGGGAGGTTTACAACTGCCCCGAAATTAATGGCGTAAACTCCAACGAACTCAGCGTTTTGAAACTTTTCATGATCATAATATTTTTTCGCTCTCTTGTCAGTTAGCCGCAGAAGTTAAGGCTCGCTCCGCAAAAGATCCAATTGGGTTTCGATGTGCAATATTGTTTCCCTTTAGTCGTAACCAACGCAGGCCTTTCAGGTAATCATTGATGGTTGCGGGCGTTAACTGTTCTGTGTTTTTTTAGTAATGAATTTATGGGGCTTAGAATCTACCATTTATCACTGTTCAGTTATTTGTTTACCGAGAGTGAAGATAAATGTAATCAATTACCACTGTTTTGTGATTTACTCTATCATTTTCAGTTTTATTTTGGAAGTTACCAGTTTACTTTTACCTCAACTTTATGAACTCTAGGCAGACCTTAGGAAATATGTTTACTTTCACTTCATGTTCATTATTCAGATCTTCGTGAATTATATCCAAGCTATTGTGTGACTCAATGAACATGTTACTGAAATGTACGGGTTTTTTATCTACTCAAGACAATCTGGTTTTCGAAAACATCATAGCACTTAAACTTTTTCAAGTTTAACTGTCGTGAAAGAATTTTTCAGAGTTTAAGAAAGATAAAATATCGTCCTAGTCGATATTTAATATTGTTTTCTTGTAACAAATTGATGTGATCTTGCAAGGGTGAGGCTCATGTAGCAAATTATTGCAACTATCATAAGTAGAGACATAGAAAAAAATCCTGGTCCTCCACTATATGTTGGTGGTCCTCCACTATATGTATACTATATGTATATCTATACCCTAACAAAACAATAGCAGCTCCTTATAGTCAAGGTAATGAGTTCTCTTTTTGGACAGAATGCTGGACAACAGTGTGTTGCAATGAGTTTGGGCTCCTTGATTTATAACAACACACAGGAGATCAGCTCTGCAAATGATCTGATACAAATAATGAAGATTGGAAATCAGTTGTATTCAAGTTTGTCTTGATTAGCCAGACAGGTGTTTTTATTGCAGTCAGAATTACCAACAGCATTAAAATAATGTGTTTGATAGTTATTATCAGCTGGAATACAGTGAAAGGTACTCTGATACCACTCACCATGAAACTACCATAAAAGAGGGATATCAGTACTGCACTTCTTTACAAAGAGTCTTTGAGTTGCTCATATCTGAAAACTACACCAATTTCATGTTAACAGTAGGGTGTATTACTATTGCAATCTATTGTAAAAATATAGGGGGTTTAAAATATTTAATTCTTATGCTAGAGATTTGTATGGTAGAGGGCATCCTCAAGGCACATATGTTCTCCATGAAATACTGTCCCTCAACAGTTTGGTACATTATTTTCAGAGTATACATTAAAAATGATATATTTGAAGTGAGAGGAGAACAAATTGAGAATATTTAAAATAGGATGGTTTCTCAAAATAGTGAATGAAACCACAAACCTCAATCTAAGTTGTGCTGTAGCTCTATAGTCTGTCTGCTACTGTATAATGAAACCATGTAACTACTGGAATTAAAACTCATACTTTCTTACCATTGTTGACAATGGCAAAAAATTGTGTTGTAATTCACGTTTAGAGGATATTCGGCTATCACCAGCTAATCTTCCAAGAACTGTAGGTATTTGTAGAACTGAAGTAAATTTTGATAATTTGTTTGAGAGTGAAGGACTATTCACTAGTTCGAATCAGTGCAAGTCCATTCTTGAGAACAGTACAATAAATAATAGTGAATGCACAGGGTTTTTGACATTGTTTTCCTCGTATTGCATCAGTTGTATCTTTAAAACCAAAAAAAGATCAAAATATATATATTCTCTCCTGCTTTATAATGAAAGAGACACGTCCCCTCACTATTTGATACGTTAAAACATAAATGGAACGGCCTCACATGCTGATGCCATTAGAAAAGCACAAGAGAAATATAACACTCCAGGGCATTACGAAATACAGTTTACTTCATGTTCATGTAAAGTAGTTGACAGAAAAGAAAGAAATAAAAAGTTGATTAATTGTTGACAGAAACAAGAATATAAAGCAATGGAGCCACCAAAGAAAAAAATACTTTTGGAGAAAAAACAAGTCAGTGATCTGCAAAAAGAGGAATTACAGAGAAAACTGTCCCAAAAATGCAAAACAATGGATACTGTTAAGAAACAAAGCATACTGAAGAAAATAGCACAAGAATACAAAACTATGAATTCTGGTAAGAAACAAGAATTGTTAATCAAAAAGGGCGCAAGAATGCAAAACTATGGATTTTGATAAGAAACAAAAACCGAAAAAGAACAAGAATATAAAACATTGGACACTGCTACAAAACAAGAACTACAAAAGTATTGTATTCATAAGTATGAAACTTTAGATTCATGCATTGAAGAGTTTAACAAAAATAAAGGAAAGCCCATTTTAGATATATTGTACATGTAACAGGAAACTTTATAAGAAATCTGTCCAAAACTCAATAAAACTAGTTACTCTTGTTTGGACATTTTTGATATAGCATTTTCATTTGATGGAAAAGAGTATATCTGTAAGACTTGTTCATTAATATTCCCGTACTTTGCAGCTTTTCTGTTCAATAGCATGCCCAATCGATGGTAAGAGCAAAATGATGCGTCTTCTTCTCGTTTTTCTTCAATTTGTAATTGTTTATCATAATCGGAAATCAACTTTACTTCAACTAGAAATGGCCGCCTGACAGCCCAAAAATGAAGAGTGGCCGGCAGTGTTGTTTTTGTTGAATTATGTTCAGTGCTCGTCCTCTAACTTGTAAATAAACAGGGGGTTTGTTCGTGAACCATCTAGTTGAGAAAAGGATGTTTCATATATAATTACAAAATAATTATCTTGCCTCTTCAAAGTATGTGAAGCGTGATTTTAAAATTGCTATGCTAATTATATCTACATCCTTATATAAACTGTCGCGAAAAAGTCGC